AATGACAGCGCTGCTCAGTGCATTTGTCGGCTGCGTCTTACAAGTTGTTGTTGAAAGTAAAAAGAACTTCCTTGTTTACAACCCTGTTTCAGTGTCTTTCAATATAAAAGTCTTTAATGCGGACTCACTCAGAAAAACAGTCTCTTGTCGCCATCGAAAGGCGGAACAATGTAACTAAAATCACCATCATGAACACACACACTGTTTCTCAATACTAAATACTACTATTATTTATATAAAATATTATTTATTGAATAATAATATTTAATAAACAACAGCAACAGCCATCATAAAAGTTGCTAGGCAATTCAGTCAAAAGCACAAAGGCCGCGCTCTGATATACAGCATTAAAGTTACATAAAATATAATGTGATGAGATTTTGTCCTCAGCCAAAACTATTTGCTCTGGAACAAATAATAGATTAATGAGACCAAAGACTGTCCTGAGATTTACCCAAAATGAATTATATCTCATGTTTAACCACTATAGAGACATTAAGAGCCAGCGGCAAATTCCAGAAGATCTGGCCGAGGTGAGGCTGCTCTCGGCGGGTTCATGAGCGCTGAACGGCCGCTGATGCCCTGGAGCTCACGTCTCCCAAAACATCGAAGCTAATTTTCAAATATACATTATCTTTATTAACAAACCATATATTTGAAGTCTAAACAAGTACATTCTCGCCTAAAACACTCTTAAAACTACATTCCATACATATATATACTGTATGTACGTTGATTTTTAATTTAACTACTTTAATATTATTAATATCGTATTTGTGTTCAGCGTGAATATTGAGTATAGGGTTGTGTTTTGGTAATTCCTCTGGAACACAAGCGAATTGTTTTCTCTTAAACACACCGTGTCTCAAGTCGAAAGATCATGTGATTTGTCTACCCAGGTGCTTTAGTCATGGCCTGGAGCAGGATGCCCAGCAGGGAAACGTTGTTTTCTGTACTTCTTTGATTGCGTCCATCTGTGCGTTTGACTTTTGATCCGACTTTCCCATCTGTGTCACTAGAAGACCACACAAACCCACGTGATATCTGAGAACAGGACACAGCACGGTGACCCAGATGCACCCCAGCATTCCTTAACATCAGACAGAACAGCTTAAAACCTCTTCTGGTAAAAATCTGTCTATTGGCAAAAGCATTTTTGGTTGGATTTGAGAGATAGCATTGGTTGTGTTGACATCGTTTTATTTCATCGCCAGAAAAAAAATCTTATGGGTTTAGATGAATAGCTAGTCAAAGTTTGGCACTTTTGGTTGGATTTAAGAGAGAGCATTGGTTGTGTTGATGTCATTTCATCTTAGAAGTGTAAAAATGAGGCCAATTCAATAACATTTTATGGGTTTAGGCAAACAATTAGATGAAGTTTGGGGTTCTTGGATGGATTTGAGAGATTGCATTGGTTGTGTTGACGTTATTTTATCTTAGAAGTATTCAAAGGAGGCCAGTTCAACTAAATCTATTGGGTTTACGTAAGAAACTAGACAAAGTTTGGCATTTTTGGTTGGATTTGAGAGATTGCATTGGTTGTGTTGACGTTATTTTATCTTAGAAGTATTCAAATGAGGCCAGTTCAACTAAATCTATTGGGTTTACGTAAGAAACTAGACAAAGTTTGGCATTTTTGGTTGGATTTGAGAGATTGCATTGGTTGTGTTGACGTTATTTTATCTTAGAAGTATTCAAATGAGGCCAGTTCAACTAAATCTATTGGGTTTACGTAAGAAACTAGACAAAGTTTGGCATTTTTGGTTGGATTTGAGAGATTGCATTGGTTGTGTTGACGTTATTTTATCTTAGAAGTATTCAAATGAGGCCAGTTCAACTAAATCTATTGGGTTTACGTAAGAAACTAGACAAAGTTTGGCATTTTTGGTTGGATTTGAGAGATTGCATTGGTTGTGTTGACGTTATTTTATCTTAGAAGTATTCAAATGAGGCCAGTTCAACTAAATCTATTGGGTTTACGTAAGAAACTAGACAAAGTTTGGCATTTTTGGTTGGATTTGAGAGATTGCATTGGTTGTGTTGACGTTATTTTATCTTAGAAGTATTCAAATGAGGCCAGTTCAACTAAATCTATTGGGTTTACGTAAGAAACTAGACAAAGTTTGGCATTTTTGGTTGGATTTGAGAGATTGCATTGGTTGTGTTGACGTTATTTTATCTTAGAAGTATTCAAATGAGGCCAGTTCAACTAAATCTATTGGGTTTATGTAAGAAACTAAACAAAATTTGGCATTTTTGGTTGGATTTAAGAGAGAGCATTGGTTGAGTTGATGTCATTTCATCTTAGAAGTGTAAAAATGAGGCCAATTCAATAAAATCTTATGGATTTAGGCAAACAGTTAGACGAAGTTTGGGGTTCTTGGATGGATTTGAGAGATTTCATTGGTTGTGTCGACGTTATTTTATCTTAGAAGTATTCAAAGGAGGCCAGTTCAACTAAATCTATTGAAATGAGGACAGTTCAACTAAATCTATTGGGTTTACATGAGAAACTAGACAAAGTTAGACATTTTTGATTGGATTTGAGAGATTGCATTGGTTGTGTTGATGTCATTTCATCTTAGAAGTATAAACATTAGGTAAATTCAATAAAATCTAATAGGTTTACATGAATTTTTGGTTGGATTTTAACGATAATGATTGTTGTTTTGACACCTCTTGATCTTAGATAAAAGCAAAGCCAAATTTCACTAAACCTTCAGCTAACAAGGTAAACGGTTGGACAATGTTGATCAGATGAGTGATCTAATGCTCCAGAAACTTGAAAATCAGTAATCAGTTACTATAAAAACCAACATGAATTGACATGCATAACCCATTTTAATTCTGTAAATGTTGGATTTGTAAAGTAATGGCTGTTGGTTTGACATCTCCTGGTCTTAAATGTATACAGATAAGAAACTGAATGAAACCATTAGCTAGAAAAGTAAACAGTTAATTGGTGATAAGCCTTTAAAACTTTTTAAAATCAACATTAAGCGGCATTCATGAGCCATTTTCATTCTCTAAAGTGTTAAAAGATATTCAACAAAATTTAATGTTGACTTCAACCTCAAATAAAGTCTCTTTTTGGTCAGTATGAGAATTTTGGTTGGATTTGAGAGATAACCATTGCTGTGTTGATGTCAGTTCATCTCAGAAGTACAAAATGAGGCCAATTCAACAGAATATTGTGGGTTTATGGGAACAGCCATGTAAAGTTTGTGAAATCAATGATCTAAGGCTCCAAAAACTTGAGCATCATGGGTCAGAGTTTTTTAAATCAGCATGAATCGACATTCATAACTCATTTTAATTCTGCAAGGGTTGATTTTGACATCTTTTGGTCTTTGATGTGTAAAAATGAGGCCAAAATTCAAGAACCCTTCAGCAGGAAAAGTAAATGGTCGGGAAAAGTTAATCAAATCTGTGATCTAAGGTTTGAAAAATTTAAGCATCGTGGGTCAAATTCTTACGTCTTGCTCGGACAGCAGTGGTGTTTTTAGCACAGTTCTGGACCTCAGGTGATAAATGTGAGGTTTTAAGGGAAGTGTGAGGAATTTTCCCAGTGGAAAAACACAGTTTCTTCTTGGTGTAGTTCTGGCTACAGAAATGAAGTGATCGCACGCATGATTTTCACTCGCAAATCTAGTAATCTTATCTAGAGACCAAGCACTCTTTTGAGCAATAAGCAGTAGTTTTTATAGGACAGAGGTCTTGTACAGGTGTGTCACGTTTTAGCACTTTTTGTGTCATAAGAGCTTTAATACATCCACATCGCCCGTGGCAGCACATGAACGACCTGACTTCATAAAAACAGAAAGCACCGTGATTCATGACAGAGCGTTTGATTGACAGGCTAATAGGAAAACTACTGTCAGCATGTTTTTCGCAGATCATGTCTAAACCTGTTTCAGGCATTTAAGACCATTAAACAAGAGGTTACACAAGCTCTAGGAATCCTACGACAGCTCTAGTCTTTCATGCTTATTACCTGAAGCCAAATGAGTTTGTTAAAGCTGTTAAATACGTCACAGGTAACTCAAGTCACTCAACATTTGACATGCTCTGTTGTAGCGTACATTGTGTTTGTGATCTTTGATGTCATGGAGGTTAAATGATCATAAATAATCAACATAGCTAATAAAACAAATGAAAATGAAACCATAATAAACAATCATAAGAATCCAAAACGCTCTGCACATCAGTATATTACAGCTGTGATGGTATTTTTCTGGTTTCAGGTGTGGATGGACGCAGGCACGCAGATCTTTTTCTCGTATGCCATCTGTTTAGGTTGCCTCACTGCGCTCGGAAGCTACAATAAATACAACAACAACTGCTACAGGTGAGAAAATGGTCAAAAAACATCATTGTCATACTATGAAATGTGTCTTTACTCCCTGGGTGACGCTGTGTGTGTGTGTGTGGTGTGTTCACTACTCACTGCTGTGTGTGTGCACTTGGATAGGATAAATGCAGAGCACAAATTCAGAGTACCATACATGGCCGCACGTCACTCACTTTCTCACTTTCACTTTCTCTTGAGGAATGAATTATGTATATTTGATTTAGGAATGGGAATCATTCAGAATTCTGGTTCCTTAATGGCTCAATTATGAATCTTTTAGTGCTTTAAGGAATAAATATTTGGAAAAATCAAATGCATTTCCACTGGCAAATAGTAAGATTATTTTTTAATAATTATCTCTTATTTATCTTATTTACTACAATAATAAGTCAATTTAAAACAGTTTTTTGAGTCTTTTAGATGTGGCATAAATGCAATCCAATAGTCCTTAAAGGTACAGTTCACCCAAAAATGAAAAAATTACCCCATGATTTAATCACCGTCAAGCCATCCTAGGTGTGTATGACTTTCTTCTTTCAGACGAATACAATCAGAGTTATATTTAAAAACGTCCTGGCTCTTCCAAACTTTATACTGGCAATGGGTGTTATTTTTCAGTAGTCCAAAAGAAGTCCAATAAAGTGCATCCATCCATCATAAAAAGTGTCCCACACGGCAAGGCCTCCTGAAGTGAATCGATGCATTGTTGTAAGAAAAATATCCACATTTAAAACTTTATAAACAGTAATCTCTAGCTTAATTTTCATTTTTTTGTGAACTATCCCTTTAACAATTGATAGCATATTTCATACATTCATTAATATTTTTAAGATAGCGCAGAAATAATTTGTAAATAATGTGTATCTTTAAACTATGTGTTTGATTCACTAAAAAGATTTGACTCATTAGAATCATTTGGTTCCAATATCTTTATTTCTTCACAAGTCCCACATCAGACCGTGTGTTATGACCAAATGAAGGAAGGAAACTTGTTCTCATTGTTTCTTGTTGCTCCTCTGAATTTCATTCTGTTGCCACATGCCATTGTTTTATCTTAGACTAAACAGCTGAGATTCTCATTTTTCAGCCAGCAAGTGCATAAGTCCTAAACTTGAGAATGTGTGATTCATCAGGACCATGTGGTTTCACCTTTTGAAATCCAATCACTTTAAATTGCTTTCATCTTTGCAGGCACTGTTTCACAACATAAGCTTTGTCTTCGTGTCTGTCTGTTTTTAGGGATTCTTTGGTTAAATAATGTAATTATATTAATTATAAAAAGTAATTTGTTGTATATAACAAATTAAAGCCAATGCAAAATTGGCAAGTTTACTACACTTGCAAGTTTAATATTTTACATAATATATATATATATTATATAAAATGTTATAACATATAATATAAATTATGTGTTTATGTATGTGTGTGTGTGTGTGTGTGTATATATATATATATATATATACATACATACATACATAAACACAATTTATGTAATATTGTAATAAAATTAATTAAATGAATTGCTAATTTTATTACATTTTATATGAAATTTATATTAATGTTAAATTATAAATTATGTTTTATATTGATATTATATTATATTTATATGAAATTTATATAACATTTGTGTAAAACGAATATTATTGGAATACATTTTAAAAGAAAATATTATTTTAGTCTTTCTACTTCCAAATGTCATGTTTCAGGGATTCTTTGGCCCTGTGTTTCTTGAACAGCGGAACCAGTTTTGTCGCTGGTTTTGCCATCTTCTCAATTCTCGGCTTCATGTCTTACGAACAGAACGTCCCAATTTCAGAAGTGGCCGAGTCTGGTGAGTGCAGCTTTACCAATCACTGAATTAACCGAAATATATATTGTAATAAAATTAATTAAATGAATTGCTAATTTTATTACATTTTATATGAAATTTATATTAATGTTAAATTATAAATTATGTTTTATATTGATATTATATTATATTTATATGAAATTTATATAACATTTGTGTAAAACGAATATTATTGGAATACATTTTAAAAGAAAATATTATTTTAGTCTTTCTACTTCCAAATGTCATGTTTCATTCAATGTGTTACTTGCTGTTTCTTTGTAATTGTTTGTGAAATTTACTAGCAATGTTTCTACACCATTTTTTTTGTAGTAAACCATAAAATTTTCCAGTCGGGTATTTTTAGATAATTGACCTTTAGCTCACAAACACACTGTAATCTCTGTCCCAGTGCACACATTTGTCTGGGGTCAAGTTTGTTTGTAAATGACCTTTTTTTCTTTTTCTTTTAATATGTCAAGGTCTGTTTAATCAGTTTTGTTCTAAATGTCAGAGGGTCCATTTTTCTTTTTTGTGCTCCATATGATGAATATTTACCGTCAACCGAACAAATAACATATTAAAGAGAATCTGTAATAAATTATGGCACACATTTTCTAGTTTCTATACTAATGTTGCTCTTGTTTTTCTGCATGGCCTCTTTCAGGTCCTGGTTTGGCGTTCATTGCATATCCGCGGGCAGTGTCGATGATGCCCATCTCTCCGCTGTGGGCCTGTTTCTTCTTCATCATGATTGTTCTGCTGGGGTTGGACAGTCAGGTATCAATCCTCACTGTGTTTAGTGCTTCACGGTTCACACATGCATTTCCAGGGCCCTATGATTTCCATCATGTAGAAAATGCAGATGGAATCGTGGAATCTAGTCATAAGAAAAAAAATTACTGTATAACATCGAATGGCACAGAATTTGGCAAAGACATTATGACAGAAATGTACTTCTCAGTGTACTAATAGTAATAATAAAGAACTATTAAGCAATATAACGTTTATTTTAATTACAACAGTAAACCTCTGTTGTGCAGCACTCTGTTTACCAAAAATAAAAGGTATTCTTATATATACAGTAAATTTATATTTAATTACATTTTAAAAGATGAATTAAATTGTTGATGTTTTATGCATTCATTTCAGTATAAATATAATAATTTTTTAAAATAATTTATTAATTTATTTGATAATGCATTTTTATTAAATCACAAATCCAGAAAAATTAAAACAGATAACACTGAATTTCCGAAAGAAATGTTATTAAATTATTAGTGTTAAAGTATTCAATTCATTAGACATGCTTTTTTTTATTACTAAAATTTAATTGAACCATTGAAATGGAATGAGGAAAAATTAAAATGGAAAAATAAAAACAGAAACAGATTTAATAGGGCTCTAAAAATTTTATTTCTGCTAAACTTTTAATAAAATGTTGTTAAATTGTATAGGTTTTATGATTTAAATTAGATGGGTTTTTTTATTGCTAAAATCATATTTAACCATTAAAACAAATCCTGAACAATTCAAATGGAAAAAAACGGAAATTGGGACAAAATAAAGCGGAATTCATAGGGCTCTACATTTCAACATTTTATTTTGTGCATAATCCTGAATCATGACTTGAAAATGTTTGCATGCCGTGTAATATTAAGCCCAAACTGTCAAATGTGACCCTGGAGCACAAAAGCAGTCTTAAGTCGCTGGGGTATATTTGTAGCAATAGCCAAAAATACATAGTTTGGGTCAAAATTATCGATTTTTCTTTTATGCCAAAAATACTTAGGATATTAAGTAAAGATCATGTTCCATGAAGATATTTTGTAAATTTCCTACCGTAAATATATTAAAACTTAATTTTTGATTATAATTAGTAATATGCATTGCTACGAACTTCATTTGGACAACTTTAAAGATGATTTTCTCAATATTTAGATTTTTTTGCACCCTCAGATTCCAGATTTTCAAATAGTTGTATCTCTGCCCAATATTGTCCTATCCTAACAAACCATACATCAATGGAAAGCTTATTTATTCAGCTTTCAGATGATGTATAAATCTCAATTTCAAAAAATTGACCCTTATGACTGGTTTTGTGCTCCAGGGTCACATATAATTACTCTGTGGCTAGTAAAAATCACTAAGGCACTAGAAACACAGAGTTTAGAGGCGTTATGCTCATCTGCTGTAGTTTGTGTGTGTGGAGAGTCTGGTCACGGCTATGGTGGACATGTACCCGACTTTCTTCCGCCGGAAGAACCGCAGAGAGCTGCTCATCCTCGTCATAGCCATCGTGTCCTTCCTCGTGGGTCTCATCATGCTCACAGAGGTACTGGACCATCTCATCTGACTCTGATTTGATTTATATAATTGCCAGATTTATGAACTGTCTCTCTGTCTGTCTGTCTGTCTCTCTGTCTGACTGTCTGTCT